TGTCAATCAAATGAAGTTTTAAAGAGTTTACTGACTGTCACTTTGGCTCTTCATTGTGTCAAGGCAGAAACATTCCTTGGACACATTTAGAAAGGTTGCCTCACCAATCACCCAGTGTGTCACCAATTACTTTGCTCCCTTGCTCAATGACCCACTGATTTTCTCTTAGCCATAGCTGCAGTTAGAAAACATCCACCACTGGAACCACCCACTGGAAAAAGCAAGCTGGAAAAATCCTGCTTTTGTAACCAGCACTGCAATACTCTGACTGCAGTAAGGAAACCTTTAATCTATAGGATGAAGAATTCTGTAGGAATATTGACACACCAGATGACATAATTAATTTTTGAAAGCATGCTTCAATCACTTCAGATTATAATTCCAGAAAGTTTTGTGTCCTCTAACCATATTCTAGCAATGTACCTCAGGATGTATTTCAAGAAGCACTGTAATATTTTTCCCTGACAAAATGAATATATGAAAAAATTTTTCAAGAGTTCAGAATTTTTACATTGTTCACCTACCTGTCTGCAAAATCTGTCTAGTTGCTTTCCCCTTGTTTTCAAACCTGGGCTCTGGTTACATTCAATGACACGGATTCAACGTAAGGGGCACATCACCTGCAAACAAAGCAACACAGATTTCTTCATGCCCAATTGATTCAGGTATCTGCACAATCTCTAAGGGAAGGTCAGGGTAGGGGAGGTTTCTAGCTGATCAAGAAAAAGTCTTGTCAGAGGAAAAGGCTGTGGTCAGCTCTTCCCTCCCACGCTGTGATTCCAGCATCCTCAGTTCTTCAGCCCTCTCCCTCAGAAGTGCCATGCCCTTGTTTGATATCCAGAACACCTGATGGCAGAGAGAAACCATTACTGTAATAAACTCTGCAGTTTACAGTGTTATGTTGTCTCATTGCCAGTGCAGCATTCTGTGGGGTTAGATGATGATAAAAAGGAACGCTCCATTCAGGCTCCGATGGAGTCAGAGAAAATTTGCTGATTTCCATGAAGTAATAGTCAAACATTTCAACTACAATCTTCTAAGCATTATTGTATTTCAGCCTGAGTCTCATGAAAAGTGACCCACTCTCAGTTCTTCCTGTTCCAAAGGAAAGGAAATGTCACTAATGACAACACAACAATCTGCACCAATAGTTTGCAATCAGTTTGTTGTTGCCTGGTGGGTACCTGAAACCCTCATGTTCTCCTCACTGCTCTCTTCAGTTGTACCCACTGATTCATGCACTGGCTCATTCTGAGCCTGCTGCTTTCAGAATCCCCTGTTTTCCCTCATCTTAGTCCAAGAGAAGCAAAAATCTTCTCATGTAGGTCACTCCTCATTTGTAGGCACTAAAAATTCCTAAAAAACTGCAGGTTTTTTCATCCATATTTTGCCACTGTATCTATATGTACAGACTTATACCTACAAAGGGTCAGGAAATGCCTTTTCATTGAGATAATATTCTATTTTTTTCTTTCTGTCACGGGAGTTTATATACCTCATTTTTACAGTAGTGTCTATAAATTTGGGTAGGCTTTTAGCCCTGGTTTCTGGGTTCAGCTCTTCCATTAAGTAGCGTCCAAAAGAGATCTGAATTTTTAAAAGAATGCTTAAGAAAGAGGAAAATTTGAATCTGTACAGGAATGTCATCTGTCTGAAACATTAAAAGAGCTCAATACCATCTCCAGCTCATCATCTGTGCCCAGACAAAAGTGCACACAATGACAATATTTTGTAAAAGATTTGTCATTCCCATATTTGATATGCCAAGTTTAGCAAATATGGATGACATTGGATAAGTTATTAGCAGCTGTATTTTCAATTAACATAATTTCTGGATATCAGGGATAATAATCCAAATTAACTAAGTTAGGGTTTTCTGCATATACAGATAAAGCTATGCCAATTTTGAGCTGCAAAGTAAAGTTTCTTTAATTATCATCACAGGCTCTGTTTGTTTACAAATAGTGGGTTACATATTTCATATGTTTTTTACTATTCTATCTTCATTCATCTGAAGCAAACAGCACTTTTTGAAAGTATCAAGTTAAGCCAGATTTGTTTGATGTTTTAGGTACAACCTATTAGTAAAGGCTTTGAGTAAAAATTGCAATAAATAAGAAATCCTATTTCAGAGCTGCTTTAAAGATTAGGTATCACAATAAATCAGTGAAAATTACATCTTGTCTAAGGGCATCTGTGCTAACCTTCTACAGGTTGCCCGAAGTGAATTCAGAATTTTCAATTACAACATCACACTGTGGTGTTTTCTGTCTCAGTTTTACTCAGAGCTGCAGCCTGGGGTCTCTTCCAGATTTACAAGTGTGTTGCAAGGGGCACAACTGCAACTAAAAGAACAACACTGGCAGCTCAAGTCTGCTAACACTCATTTTGCAATTGTTACTCATGGTATATTGCCAATTTTTGCTACCAGTTGCTGCCAGTTTACATGGCATCATCTATCATGATTTGTTTGGTGTACAGACACAGTTTAGCCTTCAGGTCAGTATCCCTAGTGACCACATGAGATACAAAGCTCCTGATAGAATATATTCCCATAAACCCCTGGGTGCTGCATTTGTGTGCAGGGGGAAGGATATTGACAACTGACAGTATAATGCTGGAAGTCATCTTCACCCTGTTTCTTGCACTTAAGTGAATTCCTCCTTTACTTCTCAGTTTACTCAGTTTTCTATTTACCAAGGGAACCATGAGATCTCTAGAGCTTTTTGGAATTTCTGGTTCTTCCCTTCCTTTCCCCATGAGAATACTACCTATGCAAATCAAAATTGTAAAATATCTCTTCTATCCCTCTTAGAAACACAACAGGAATATAACATAACCAAAAAGCATTCATGGTAAAAGCAATAATATATTCCAAAATTGTGCTTTATATATTACATTGTGCAGATATAAACTGGGTTTTGATTGGGGTTTTGGTTGTTTTGGTTTTTTTCCTGGAGAAATACAGTGGAACTCAGAAAAAGCAGCTCATGTAGGAAAAAATCTTGCAGCCAAAAATAATCTTTCTTCATGCATAAGTATTGCTGATTTACACACTTCACTTCTTAGAACGTAGGCAGAGATCTATATTTCTTTTCCCAAACTTATAAAGTACTAATTTGTATCAGAGTTCAAACACCTTCACTCTGTCTAGCACATTTGAGACATTTGGGGATATTCATAGGTATAGGTAAAACACAACAGTGAAGGTCTAAGCACCATGTGAACAACTTTTCAGTGACACCAGCTTCTCATTAAAATCATGATCCTCTATCATCTTGGGGCTTCTGCTCCTCTCCAGCATATTCTTTCACCAAAAACCTGGTATCTGACCTGAAGTTCCCATTCTTATTTCCCACGAGTGCTATAGGTGTTAGCTTTTCAGTATTTTGTTTGAATCTGGCATTTGTAGATCACTAACCTCAGTGCCTCATTTCAGTTTTATCTCCCTGCATTTAACAACACAAAGTTTCCTTTGCAAATCCTTACAACAGCCCCAGAGATCCTGTTATCTCGGGCACAATTCTGTGAGCAATAGAGAATCTGAATTTAAAAGTCAAACTTCTCCACAGCTTCTCAGGATACTTTCTTTTTGCTGAGACCTCTCTTTTCCCTGTAAATGCCAAATTCACAAAGCATCTGAAGGGTGGGCACATGAGGGTCAGGAGGGTGTGTGTTGAGAGTGACATCAACTGAGACAATAAAAGGGCCTCCAAGTTACTTTGAAGCTCTATTTTAAAGTTACATTTAAGGGGTCCACTAAACCAATTCAGTAGTCTTTAAATATACTTGACATCAAGAGACAGTCATCTGCGACATACCCAAACCAGAAATCTCTGCAACATTCTGCCTGGTGAGTGCACTCCACTTTATTTCCAACTTCTCTGCAAGACTTACTTAGAAAATGTTACCATTGATTCTTTATTCTTTTTTTTACATTAGTTTCTTTTCCAACTACCTTAGAAATAAAGTGAATATTAGTAAGATCAAACTGTTATTTTATCTGAATTTTGCAAAATTAAAAAATCTGAGACAGTGAGTTGGAAATGTCTTGAAGTGAATTCAAGTCCTGAAATTATAATACTGGGTTAGATGGACTGGAAGGACTTCATTCATATTGTTGTGTAAGAGAACATGGTATAAATGTTTCTCTGACCTAAAGCTGCAGAAACTATTGCAAAAATGGCATTGTGGAGTTTTATATTTCTTAAGTTTCAGTTCCTCTGTATCAAATTTCTTAAGCTGTAACAAAAAGGTGCCTTTTCTGGCAGCCAATGCTGAAAATCCAAACTGGAATCTGATATTGGAACTGTCATTTTTCCCTGTTGTAGCATCATCAGTAATAAATATTTTCCAAATGTATTCCAGGGGGCAGTTTTGATGATGATGGACAAAGCAGAGTGAAATTCATACTGGCAATGCAGGATTATCTCTGAAAAACATGAGGGGCTCAATTCTGATTTCTCTTATGTAACTAACTCAGGAGAGTTATGCCTCTCTGCAAAATTGTCAAGAAAAGTGTCAGTCTCTTCATTGTAGAGAACATGCAAAAGAAATAGAAGAAGAAAATGTTTCACTTGCATAGCTATATGCAAGTATTTCAGCATACTGGGAGCATATAAAGTAGTAGTAGTAGTAATAATAAGAACCAAAAAACCCAATAGATAAATACTTTTGGAAGAACGTGGTGCTTTTCACCCAGTTATGCAAGAGATGGGTACCTAGAAGAAGATGATGATGATGTAGGGCAGCTAAGGCTGACTGAAGTTCACACAGTTGCCTGGGAAGCAACAGTAAGCTGCTCACAAAATTAGGATCAGAAGTAAATTTTTAATTTACATTCCTTGCTCTAACCCGTTTCATTAAAAAACCCACCCCATTTTTCAAAAACAATTCTCTGATGCCTTTCTTCAACTTTTTTCCTAATCTAAATTTCTTTGGAATTAACAGAAGTTACTTGAAACAGAGATTTATACATGTATTCACTGCTATCTTTGTAGACAAAATGACTTCTATAAAAACCCTGGCCCGGACTGCAATCATTTTATATGCCATATGCTTTTTTACAAACTCTGATGGAAGACCAATGATGTGAGTACATGATTATATGCTGGGTGACTCTGACTGTTGTTGAGAGCATGGTGGTCTGTCTAGGTTTATGTGTGTGCATTCTGTCCCTGCTTTTGACCCTTTTGGCCAATCTGGGCAAATTCTGTGCTCTAGATACAGCTACAGAGATATCAGACACTGAGGTCTCACACATTTTTTGGAAATAAGTGGCTGAGTAGAGGGAGAAAAATTGTCTAAGTCTTCCCTTAGGAGTAGCATTGGCTAAGGTGCATCTCCTGGGGGTCTCCACAGGAGAGCATCTTTTGTACTGTGTGAGAATCTGGCTGGAACTCACACTTAGATATTAACATCAATCAGTTGAGACACAAATCCACAGGGAATTGTGCTTTCTTGACTCTGATGATCATAGAAACTGCCACTGAATAAATGCCATAGTTTTATTGTTCAGTTACTTATTACCATAGAATCATCAAGGTTGGAGGAGACCTCTGAGACCACTGAGTCCAACCATTAACCTGTCACTGCTGGAACTCCTAAACCCTAAACCATATCCTCCAGTGTCAGATCCAGACACCTCTTAAACACTTCCAGGGATGGTGACTCCACCACCTCCCTGGGCAATATCCCAGTGCCTCAACACCCTCACAGGGGAAGCATTTTTCCTAACATATAACAAAACCAACAATAATAACAATAATAACAACATATAAGCCCAAAGCTCAACTGGACTACTTCCCATTTTTGATGCATTCTCACTCATATATCCATCACCAACCACCCTCCTCTCTTCTCCAGATGTCATTCTATCCCTTAGAGATCAGAAACGTAGTGTCTACAGTTCTATATTGTGATACCTCACAAAGGTCACCAAACCTGGATCTGTGAGAGATGATCTGGAATTTGGGAAGGGCCACTATGAGTCTCTTTCTTTGCTTGTCTTTGGTGCAGGAAAAGGTCAGTGAGTGAGATGCAATTAATGCATAACCTCGGAGAGCACCGACACACCGTGGAGAGACAGGACTGGCTTCAGATGAAGCTGCAGGATGTGCACAGTGCCCTGGATGATGCTCGGACCCAGAGGCCTCGGAACAAGGATGACATTGTCCTGGGTCATAGGCTGATCCCTGAGAATTTGCGGGCAGCAATGCAGAAGAAATCCATTGACCTGGACAAAGCTTACATGGATGTCCTCTTTAAAACAAAGCCGTAGAGAAAAGAGCCAGAGCATTGTGTCTGTCCATGTAGGCAGGTGTCTGTAAATCACTGATCAAGTAGGGCATTTTATTACTCTTTATTCAAACTGCAGTAAGGATTAAAGGCTCCGTTCGAGGTTGTAGCCCCGTGGAGTTAGACATTTCACAACCAAATAATAAAATGTATTTACAGTCCACCCATGGCCATTGCTGCTCATTTCTGGGTATCTTAGAAACTGCCAGCATAAAAAAAACCCCAAACCAGTAAGAAAGATGAAAAATCATTTAAGACCAGTTGTACAACTCTTACCTGGGCATTATTTATATGGAATCACCAGGCCTGCTGTGCTGTTAAGCAGCAAGGTTCAAATGCAGTGGAGCCTGTCTCCAGAACAGCACCTTTTGGCCTAGGGTTAAATTCTGTTTAACTTTGTACTAATGAAAATACGCAAACAAACCCACAGCTATTTTCAGAAGAAGGCCTCAAATCAGATGAGCATTAATTACACAGCAGAAGCTGAATGATAATAATTTAGGATTAAAGCGTGCAAACATTAAGAAAAAGTAAAGCAGGAAGGCAAAGCTGAAGATTAAAGTACAATGGGATAAAATGAAAACAAATCCTGAAGAATTAAATTTTGCAAATGCTGGAATGAAGGCAGGGTTTGATTACTTTTCCCTCCTCCAAGAGATGATAACCTACAATTAACTGCAGAAGGAGTGGGAGCAGAGATGGCAGCATGTGTGTTAGCATAGCCCTAACTGTAGAACTGGGAAATGATTCTATACCAGACAAGCACATTTGAAACAAAAATCTTACAACATATATTTTTTGTCCCTCATTTTCTCTATAAACTGTCTAGGTCTGAATTTCTGTATCTTGTGTTAGGCCTCATGTGTGAGCAATATTTGTTTGTGGGACCAGTGGCTCTCATACATAAAATTACTCATGTCCATGTGCTATTTTTATGTAGAATGGGGATCTCAGTTTGCCAAATCCCCAAAATGAGAAGGATGAACATGCAGAAATCAACCTGGGAAAGGAATAATACATTCAAACTCCAAGCAAGACTCAGAAATAATTGGATATAGACATGAGTGAGAAAATATCAATTATGACAATAATATTAAGAAGCAGCAAATGCAAAATTATTTTGCATGTATTATGCACAAATGTGCTTAGGATCCACAGCCAC